GGGGGAGGGGGAGGAAAGGGAGGGGGAGGGGGGGGGGGGGGGGGGGGGAAACGGGCAGGGCCCTTGTTATGGGGAGGGGAGTTGATTCGGGCTTAAGGGAGGAGGGGCTCTCCACCGTGGGGGGTCTATCTATGGGGGAGGAGACATGAAGAGTCATTTCCTCACACAAAAATATACATGAAACTCAAAGTTTACTGACGGGCTTAAGGGAGGAGGGGCTCTCCACCGTGGGGGGTCTATCTATGGGGGAGGAGACATGAAGAGTCATTTCCTCACACAAAAATATACATGAAACTCAAAGTTTACTGACGTTTTCTTTTCATATTTTTTCTAGTAGAGGCAGATTTACAGCCCCCCACAATTATGTATTCTTAAATGAATATTAATATATGAGGGTTGAAGGATATTCTGAAAAAAATATTTTTTTACCCCCTTAAAAATACCTTTTAATGCAAATGTGAGAGGGGGACTGCAGGTTACATGGCTATTACAAAAGAGGGTCGCAACTGAAAAGAACTTGGGAAGCCCTGCTTTATTCCCATTGATATCTCTGGTGCATCGTTTTTTGAAGGCTTTAGCGATTTGGCAGCACCACAGAACATGTCAAGAGAACGCACTTCATGAATGAATGAGCATTGATATGAATAATCATCACTGTATCATCTTGTCGACAACTCTCTGAAGACACACACACACACACACACACGGACAAACACAGAAACATATACCTTTGTTTGTATCCGGACTAACTTTCTATTTTTTAAATTGGCCATGTTGGTTTAAAACCAGTCAGAAATCGGGGTTCTTTGTTCCTCGAACAGTTGAGTTTATAGTTTCCTTTCTCTTTGAGAACCTCAATCTACAAAAAAACGCGGATGCACTGCCATAGATATGAAGATGGAACTTTAGGTATAGTTAAATAGCCTAAACAGAGATATAATGCATCTCACCAGAATAAGGAAGATCATGATCAGTTGACCCAAACAGTGGCCAGAGGACTGGAAAAGATCAGTCTACACCCCAAGTCCAAAGAAGGGCAGTGCCAAAGAATGCTCCAACTACCGTACAATTGCACTCATTTCACACGCTAGCAAGGTTATGCTCGAAATCCTCCAAGGTAGGCTTCAACAGTATGTGGACCGAGAACTCCCAGAAGTACAAGCTGGATTCCGAAGGGGCAGAGGAGCTAGAGACCAAATTGCTAACTTGCGCTGGATTATGGAGAAAGCCAGAGAGTTCCAGAAAAACATCTACTTCTGCTTCATTGACTATGCAAAAGCCTTTGACTGTGTGGACCACAGCAAACTATGGCAATTCCTTAAAGATATGGGAGTGCCTGACCACCTTATCTATCTCCTGAGAAATTTATATGTGGGACAGGAAGCAATAGTTAGAACTGGATATGGAACCAATGATTGGTTCAAAATTGGGAAAGGAGTACGACAAGGCTGTATATTGTCTTCTTGCTGAAGCTCAACATCAAAAAACCTAAGATCATGGCCACTGGTCCCATCACCTCCTGGCAAATAGAAGGGGAAGATATGGAGGCAGTGACGGAATTCACTTTCTTGGGCTCTATGATCACTACAGATGGTGACAGCAGCCATGAAATTAAAAGATGCCTGCTTCTTGGGAGGAAAGTGATGACAAACCTAGATAGCATCTTAAAAAGTAGAGGCATCACACTGGTGACAAAGATCCGCATAGTCAAAGCTAGGTTTCTCCCTGTAGTGATACTTTATATGGAAGAGAGAACTGGAACATTAGGAAGTCTGACTGTCAAAGTATTGATGCTTTTGAATTGAGGTGCTGGAGGAGACTCTTGAGAGTCCCCTGGACTGCAAGGAGAACAAACCTACCCATTTTGAAAGAAATCCAGTGCTCACTGGAAGGATAGATCTCATGAGAAGACTCCCTGGAAAAGACCCTGATGTTAGGAAAGTGTGAAGTGAAGAGGACGACAGAGGACGAGATGATTGGACAGCGTCATTGAAGCGACCAACATGAATTTGACCAAATTCTGGGAGGCAGTGGAAGACAGGAGGGCCTGGTGTGCTCTGGTCCATGGGGTCATGAAGAGTCTCACACGACTTAACAACTAAACAACAACTGTAACTAAAATTTTACAACAATTGTCTTTAAATGTTCATAGGCTGGGTACTTAGTGGGACTTAGTTTTGAGCAGACACATAACAGCTTTTTGAAAAGGGTGCACTCACAAATGCAGTCGTACGTTCATAGCCCAAATTGCCTTCAACCAGCTCAAAGGAGGACACGTTTCTCTCTCCCGCTCCCACTTTTATTTTTACAGTCCCGCTGTGGGGTACAGAAAACCAGCCCCTGAATGTACTGCCTCACTGAGGACTAGTAGGCTGACTCTGACACTCCTAGAGCATTGGCTCCCTCAGGTGTTCTTGGACTGCAGCTTCCAGAAGCCTTCACGACCAGTTGTGCTGGCCTTGGGTGTCTGGGAGTTGTAGTTCAGGAGCACCTGGGTAACCCAAGGTTGGGAGCCACTGCCTTAGAGAATAACCGCACCCAAGCCTCACACTGCCCTTATCTTTGCACATGAATTCTGTGTGATCCGGAAGCTTGCACATACACACACAGAAACAGCAACTTATTCGCTCGATTAAAAGCTACTCCTCGCATCTCAGGAAGCTGAATATAAAAGGACAAGCAAAATAGTAATATATACCGTTTCCCACATTTAACAGAGTGTTTTTTTTAAAAAAATATTCTCATTCTCTTCCTCTCTTCCCCCCCCGAAAGGTGAAAGATGGGCGGGCCAAATAATGGCGCTCTTTCTAGCTTCCCCCCCCTTGACTCTGATTGGCTCTCGGCAAATGCCAGTCATTACTATGGCAAGGCGAATACCTGCCCATGGAGGAAGATGGTCTTATCCCGCGCAGACTCCCTAAGCACGCGGCGCACCGAGAGCTCGGCCAAAGGGAAGGTGTCCGAGGCGGGGGCCTCCTCGTGGGACCCGGCGGCTCCGTTCTCGCCCTCATTCTCCTCACGCTTTCGCTTAGGGGCTGGAGACTCCGCCATCCCTCTTGTCAGGAAGGAAGCTAGCCCGCATGCGCGGTACTTTCGCGCCCTTAACAGCCAATGGAGCGGTGTCAGAGCTCCCTCTTTTGGCGGGAGGCCGCTATTACTGTGGGCCAGGAAAGGACTTCACGGCGCCGTGCACGCATGCGCGAGGCTACCGCTGTGTTTGAGCTATAGCTAAATGGTCCATGACACGTCAGTCATAAACATTAAAGAATAGTGTCAAAATTTAATAAAATCAAATGAATAATAATAAAAATGTCATGCCATTAAATAAAATCTTATTTCCTTTCAAAACGGTATCTCAGCCAGGAAGGAAGAGCTATCCATAAAAATACCTCAATAGAACAATCATGGCGTCTATTATGAAAATTTATCCCATGTAGATTAACAGATTTGGTCAGTTTTGGTCAGTCTTGTAACGCTTGTGGATAATGAAATATCTTATATTTGTGGAACCAGTGAAGGATTTGATATTTGGCATAAGTGTTACCCAAGCCTGCCAGAAATACATCCCCCACAACCTGAAAGAAAGAAAACCGTCCAGGGCAGAATTTTTAAAAAGCCATTTTATTTCCTTTAGAGAGAAATGAAACACGTGTACTCTTAAAAACATTTAAAAGTTGCTTTATTACAAAAGTAGGCACTGATTAAAAGTTTGCCTTCATTTCTGTGACCTAAGGTATCATTTTGTAAAACCTCATCACCCAAAGTGACGTGTTGGCACTCATCCTGGAAGTTAAGGTTTGTAACAGACTAGCAGGGGGAAAAATAAAAATAAAACATAAGGAGAGCCATACTGGATGTGACTATAGGTTCCTCTAGTCCTGCCTTCTGTTCACATGGTGGCCAGCCACCTCTGGGAAGACCCAACGGAGAACATGAGCAGGACAGCATCCTTCCACTTGACGCTCCAGGCCAACTAGCATTAATGTTCCCTGTTTGCCAGTGGCATGGAGGGATGGAAATGACATTATTTTAATCTTGGAAGGAGTCAGGATGAGGTAGTCTGGCCTGAATAGATAAGGCAAGTGCAGCAAAGGAATATACACGGGCCCCAAGGATGATGATGAGTTAGACCCCAAAACAGTTCTGCCTGCAGACCTGCATCGTGTGGACTGCCATTACAGAACAGCCGGATTGCTCAGTGGCTTAAATATCTGGCCAGAGGTTGGGAGTTTGATTCCCCACTGTGCCTCCACAGGGGCTGGACTGGATGATCCATAGGGTCCCTTCCAGCCCTGCAGTTCTAGGAGGATTGTGATGATTAGAGTTAGGACGGCAACTTGTTTCAGAGAGATTACTTTTATTCTGGGCAGAGTTGCTCGGCGACTAAAGAAGATGAACAGCTTTTCATTTTAGTAACTGTAACAGTTGAGGATACAGGATCCCTATTCAGGCAGTACACAACCCACTGCTGTGAACATGTGCAGAGTTCAGTGTTGTGCCTGAAGAGAAGAATCCTGCACACATACAGGTTCTTTGTAAGAGCAAGAACCCAGATTTCTCAGGGTTTTTCCTTGCACAGAGAGCCATACACAAGCAAGAATCCCTCTGGAGACCCAGCAATGAAAGTCTCAAAATTGCGATGACTGAGAGGGCAGAGTTAAGATGCTCCTCTTTGCAGCATCAGGTTGTTTAATGCCCAAGTGAGGCAGGCTTCACAGTGTCATGTTGTGTGTTACCATCCAGATGGGCTCTCCCATCTCTATACCAACAGGGATGTAAACGCAGGAACCGTTTTCCAAAGTGCAAAGAGAACAGGCTGCTTTGCTGGGAAACAAGAGAAGGATGCAGAGGAAGAAATACTAGTTTTGTTTAAGACTGCCTAACTGTGAAAATATTTTTTAAAAAAGTACGTCTGAACACAAATGCAGGCTGAAGATGGTAAACAGCATAATTGTCTTGAAACTGCAAGCTTATGACATGAGTTCAGAGTGCACGTACAGAATCCCACGAATAGTAGAATTTCAGCCCAAGCTTTTGTGTAGATGATCTACAACCTGGTGGGTTGTGAGACACAGTGTCCAGAATGCTGTTGGTGTTTCCATGCGGTTTGCAAAATGAGCTGCAGCTGATTGATGAAGGGTAGGCGTGGGTCTCGGCTACGCAGCTCACTAAACAATACTTCATCAATCAGCTGCATCAAATGATGCAA